GTAGGGAAAAGATTCATCTGGGCACAAATTCAGCTGTCTGAGCATATGAACAAGATATCGGAGACAGGAAAGAGAAGGAAATGTGCACAGTTTGCATATACCAAACTAGCAGGATGACTTCCTGTGGTTGAAGTCCAGACTTGTACAGCTATTTCTTTGAGATGTATACTGTCTTTTGGTATACTGCTTTTTGGCAAGGACTGTTTTCACATTGCTGACTATGTAATAATATCGACGTTGTTATTTAAACAATGAATAAAATAATTAAAAAAAAATATAAATAAAAAAATAGCTTGTAAATAGGTATAATGGCCTAAATCTCCTTGCATTCAGAGAACATAGGTACAGTTTGCTGACAATTAGGTGCTATTCAGCACCTGTAGGATCTGAATGTCATTACCTATATCGGAGAATTTATGTTATAAATTCAGGAAAAAAAATGTGAGGCAGAATTATAAATGCTGAAATACTAGTTCCACAGTAATACCTAGTACTCTGATGGGCTAGGCCATCCAAAACCTCTGTAATAGTAAGCTTTTATTGTTTATTCAGGCTGAAGCAGACACTTACTTTATTGGAATAAAAGTTTTCTGGACAGCATGAGAATCACATCACAGGGCAAACTAATGTGGATTTTTTTTGTTGCTGTTAACTGCAACTAAATGTCTGCAGTGTCTTCCTATATTAACCAAATTAAAGAAAAATACCCCTAAATAGTGTATAGATTGTTCCAAAGCAATATTAAGTAATTTTAAAAGAAAAAGATATATTAGTGTGCATTAGCTGTGTATCAACCTTCAACATTGAGGGGAAAAAGTGTACCATGATTAGACTGAATATGTAAAAGTTTCAGGCTTCCTACAATCTACAATTCCTTTTAGGACACACTAGAATATAAAGGGTCAATATTAACAGTAAATCCATTTATTATTTGGAACTGTACTAATTTATTCCAGTGAAGCAAATTGTTCTAAAAGCTCAAAACATTATTACTTCTAGACACAGTAAACAGAAGCTAATTATGAACATTTAAATACTTTTGAAACAGGATGTAATAGTTGTAATTTCAGGTGACTGAAGGAGTTTCAACAATAAAAACAACTAAGTGATTTGTTATAACACACATTTGCAAAAGCCTGCTACGCATAAACATGATCATTCAACAATTAATATTATTTCTTACTGACTTACTTTACCTTTTAATCCTTGAATTTGCTGAAGCACCACAAAAACACATGGAAGGAAATCTGCAACATTGATCTGACTCACTGAGAATCTTTTTCACTTATCTGTGGCTTCTTTCTGCTGGGATAGTCTATTCTGTACTCAGCTACAACCTGTTCATTGAGATGTTAGGGTTGATGTTTTCCACCAATAATTTCTGTCAGAGGAAGAAAGTGTTTTCTCTAGACTTATTTTAATATTCATGTTGCTGGATAGAATCCAGATTCAGATTAATGAGTTAGGAATTCCACTTAATATGCAATAATTAACGACCTAGCAGCAGAAAAAGGACTAAAAATTGAATGATCAGCTTGATTTAAATCACAAATTGAAAACTGATTTTTTTTTTTCAAGCAATTCTTAAAATAGTGTTGCTAGGAAAAGCAGATCTGGAACCTGTAGAGCTTCTACAAAATTAAGATAGTATGCAAAATGTGTTTTAGCTTATTCTATTAAAAAAAATCCCTACTAATTTCAAGATGTTTTTCACAATTAATTTTCATTTAGATAATCATTCAGCTCATTCTACCTAGCAGCCTGTTAATATGTGAAGACTGCATGATCAGCATGAATTTTTTAAAATCGGGTGTGTCATTAGTTTTCATTGACTGCCTTTTACTGCAAATGCTTAATGACTTTAATTATATCATTATATAATATTCATAGGTCTCCTGTGCTTAGTGAATAGATATTCAAGATTTCTTTTTGTTCTTTTCATTTAGTGTAGCTTTAGTCTTCACCTAATATATATTATCTTTCCAATCCTGTCAGGAGTACAAAATTTATCTTTATAATTTTGCCTCTTCTTCCTTTTCTCCTTATCCACCTCCTTCCTTACATGCCAGCCTACACAAGTGCAAACCCTGCTTCTCTTTTTTCTTTGTCCTTACCCATCTTGCCCACTGGCTCATGCCCATCACCCCTTTCTGCCATTCCCTTCTACCTCCCTGGTGGATCTCGTGATCTCTGTGCAGCATTTGAGACTTTGCTGAAACACAGAGGCCAATTAATCTCCCTGAGTTCATCTACAAAGAATCAGATTTTATTTTAAAGAAAGGCAATCACTATTTTACAAGGCCTCTATTTTATTATCTAACTTCATTACAAAATAAAAGTTTATGTGAAATTTATTAGATGCTGCAGAATAATTTAACACCAACACTCTGTTCAAGACTATATATATAAAATGTTACTGTTGTAATATGTTTTCTTTAAATACAGCACACAATAAATGTATTATCTTGCAATTCTGTCACTTTTCTTTGTGTTGTACATCATCCTTTCTCCTTTGAGTAAGTCTGGCTATTTCATCTCATGTAGTCTGATTAGTGAAGATTTTACTACTTCTCTCTGTAGTGTGTTATGAGGAAAAAAATGATTTCTATATTTGGCTAGTGTCTAGCTATATATATATTTTTTTTCCTTGTGAAAGGAAGGCTTAAGTGGTATTTACTCCTTTAGTTACATGTAAGGCTGAGTAAAAAGCAGAGATCTTTCAGTACTTTTGATACAAGCAGCTCAGTGACAGGCTCAGTATAGATAATTTACAGGGCTGTTGCAAGAGCTGAAATAGACTCTGGATTTCCCAAAAGTCAATCTCTTTAGGGAGATGATAGCTTGTAATTTCTACAGCACTGAACACAGAGAGGTCTGTGAGGAGCTATTGCTGACAGAACTCCCACACTTCAGCTACCGGTGGATGTCACAGTTTTGTGAGGTACAAAACACAGAAGGATTTGGAATAAATCTTATGGAATAGCCACAAAGTTGCACTCCGTTTCTCGTGAGTTTCTTGTCATCAGTAATGACAAGATAATCTTCAAACATAATTTTCCCCTTAAAGCAATGTTATGCTGACAGAATTACTACAAAATTGGAGAAATGGTATTTTTCCAATGTAATCAGCAATGATGTGTATTAAAATAAATTTCACCTTTCCATTATCCAATACTGTCTATAGTGTTACATTTATTTCACCATTTTGAATAGTTAATGTATTTATTCCATACTGATACCAACTTACCCTTGTTTTTACTTGAGTATGAAACAAAAAGTGATGTAGAAAGCTGAGAGGGTTTTATTATTGGAAAGCTAGGTAAAACATATCCAGTCTCATTCAAAGAATGCTTCAATTATTGCCTTCTGAAAAAAATGCTACAATAGGTGCCAGAAGCATTCATTTGCAATACTTCTTCTGCCCCTAATCAGGTTATAAGTCTAATCACATTTTTATTAGACTAATGTAAGCTTAAGATAGATTCATTGACGTTGTAGACACGGTCATACATGTAAAATATCAACAGTAAACCTGCCTCTGACTTTGTATCTCTTGAAAACCTTTCAAACTCAAAAATATTTTAATCGGATTTTGAGCTTTTTTATTGTGTTGTACATGTAAAACATGTATTGGGAGTTGTCTTTTGGGTAATAATGAAAACCAATCCTGAGAAATGTTATCATTAAGTATTTCTCTCCATAACAATAAAAGTATTTAAACTGTATGTCTTGAGAAACATCCAGGTGGTTGGTTGGTGCGTATCAAAATTAATCTTGAAGATCCTAATAAGTCTCTGGCTTATTTTTCGTCCTGCATTTTTATGTGCTGTTTCTATCTTAACCTGGACAATATGATCAGAAGTTACTAATATCTTAAAACTGCATATAACCATTTTCTAAAGAATTGCACAACTCCTGCCACGTCGTATTGATAAACTGGAAGCTTACTGTGGCTAGTTTTTTAGAGAAGTCCAAGTAGGAAACATTGAAATCAAAGCAATGGTCACTAGGAATGTTTCCAAAACACTTAGAGCAGAGAGGTGTTTTCAAACATCATTTCACAATTCCTGGTCATGAGAGAACATTTAGGAGGCAGAGTCTTGTTGAAACACTGCTGAGCTTCTAGGCAGTGCTAGGCAGGACAACACCTTAACCCAGGTAATCTTTGTAATAAATTGAGCCTTTTAGGACTCTGCATGTTGCATGGTAAGCCATAGTTCCATTTTTTGAGCATTGAGTCTGTGAAATTATGTTTTTAAAGCCTCATTATAGAGGGATACCAGATGATCTGATCTTATTACTTGCGGAATAACATCTTTTCTGGTTTAAAGTTAGGAATCTCTATTGTTGACTTTATTATTTTGTGTCAGACACTTTGTCCGTTGGAGAATAAGTTGAAAAATAGTAAAGAGAAGATAGCCCAGACTAACATTGCAGGTGGAGAACTACATGTAGAAAGGTTTATTGAACATTATGACAAAATTATTTCTTCTATAACCTAAGTGGTGGATTACAATGTGTTACTCAGATGATGTGACAGATTCTTGTTTTCTTTCTTTTCTTTTTTCTTTGCCACTTTATTTAGAGGGAAAATTAAAATTAACTGATTTTTAAATTATCCTGACAGATTATGCTGTTTTACCTACACAGATCCATTTTTTTTTTTTTTTTTGTATTTTATTAAATTAAATGTCCCAGTGTTTCTTTCATCAATGCCATTTTATTCTGAAGTTTACTCCTGTCCTCAGTTTCAGCTATCATTGGAGCACATCAACACTTAATATTTCTACACTGGAGTCAGCTTGAGGCTTATTGAATCTGATGGCCTCACCCTGAAATTGCAGTCAGATTTAGATGTTTATGCAGATAAATAATTTTTGCTCTTCCTATACAGGATTGACATCTTCAAGTATGTGATATATGGTGTAGCAGCTGCATTCTTTGTATATGGCATTCTGCTGATGGTGGAAGGATTCTTTACAACTGGTGCCATCAAGGATCTCTATGGGGATTTCAAAATCACCACTTGTGGCAGATGTGTCAGTGCCTGGGTAAGCAGTTCAAGAAAGCTTTAGCACTTATGACAATTTGAATGTGTTTTGTACATTTGTAATGCCTTGTAATGTTTATTTTTTTGGGTTTTGATTTTTTAATATTTTCTGATACTTCAGTTTAGTGGTTAAAATAATAGCAAAGGAGAATAGAGTTAGAAAATTTCTCTGTATTGGTTAATCACCAAGTAACTCTTGCTACCTCTTGAATTCCACCACTTGAGTGGGAAACAAACTGTTTGGGACAGGACTCCAAATGTGTAATGATAGTATTTCCACTGTTATTTTTAAAATCTTGCCTGTTCCTCTTTGGGACAAGCTGAGACCTATCATCAGGTTTTGTTTTGGTTTTAAATGGCAAACAGCTCCTCATTTACTCCTATGTTATCTCTGGTTTAGAGAGACCATTCACTTATGACCCTGAATTAAAAAAATTCTGAGTTGTACTGGGACCAAAACTGAGGTTTTTTCATACTAAAATTGCTATTTGAACTGGAAGTATTTTAAAGTCTCTGTTCAATATCAGATAAGTAACTAACTTTTTGGTATTTGACTCTTCTGCATCAAAGGCAAAAGGCCTGGGCACTTAGTAGCTGTTAGAGTCAGATAAATAGTATTTTCTGATGAATAATAAATTATTAAATACAGCCAGGTAAATCTATGTTAAGGTACCCTTAAGGTTATACTATATTTACCATAACAAATATATAAAATAGCCAGAGGAGAGTTTCCCTTCCTCCTACAAATGTCAACATTTATTACTGGAATACAGACTGGGAAAAAATATAAGCAATAGAGAATATCTTCCAGTCACACTAAAGACTATCAAAACTAGTATTTTGGATAACCTGACACTCAAGGTTAAACTGAACACAGATAATCTGTACATTGGAAAGTGGGTAATAGGGCATGTGTGCCAGCCCTACATAAACATAACGTGCTCCACAGCAATGCTGCTTTTGCATCTTTTTTCTTTTGTTCCTGTCAAATCTCATTTTATGATTTTGGCACTTTGACTAAAAACTTTTTTAAAACCTTTAAATAAATATATAAATAAAGACTGGGAACGTTTTAAATAAAGAGCAGTCATTGCTTATACCAACACTACTTTCATGTCCTGGAAAGAAATCTCTAATACATATTCACTGAGAACCTACTAAACTAGTTTAAATTCTGTACAGAGCAGCAAATTTTTCAGAACATTATTTTTTCTTCACAGCTCCCATAAATCCCTGTCCTCAGCACAGCAGCAGAGCAATGCTGCATCCCCTCATAGTTTTGATACCCTTGCAGTCTAAACTGTAATTCTGCAGTACATGTCTAGATGAAGAGTTAAGCATCTGTTCTATGGTTAATATTACTGTTAGTATTAGTGATTAATTGAATTAATTCCTTCAGCTTTTACTTTCCTCATCAGTAATTTGTAAAATTTGTGTTTTATTTTTAAAAACTTTGGGCTGCATTGTGCAGCTAAAGTCAAGGCTGTATAGTATTTATGATCATAATTAAAACGAGCCACAAGTTGTTTTAAGCAGAATACTCTTGTTACTATTTTTGAAGTTAGTGGAAGTTTTTGTTGCTCCCTCAAAACGAAAAAAAGATCTGCAGTTTGATTGCTTGTCTTATTCTGATGATGTATCAGTAAGATTTCTATACAGTGTCTGGAGATATTTTTGGTTATTATTCTGGCTTTTGCTTCTGTGTCTTGAAGTTTGGTAGTAAAACAGGATATACAGCATTTTTATCAATTAAAACTTGAAAGCCTTTTTGGCTACTTTTATTTTGATTATCTTGTATTTAAAATTCTTAACAGAAAAAATAACAGCTTGCTTTTTATAAAAAAAAACACTGCAAAAAAACCATTTTGAATGAGAAATTATTTCAGTCCAGCAGTGATATAATTTATTGAGTTCCTTAAGTCATGCAGTGACATGAAGAAATAAGTTCTAGGAACAACAAAAAGATGACTGGAGAGGTAAATCAAACCTAATCAGTACCCTTCTCTGTCAAGCCCAGACCATTCTATTGCTAATCAAATCTGCTGTTATAAATTTTGTTGTCTACAGTTGCCAAAACAAGATAATGCTATTGAAGAGGATTGACAGGTACTACAAGTTGCAAGAAAAACTTTAAAACTTTGAGATAGTAATTTTGTAAATATAAAAAATTAGCTGTCAAAGACTAAACCCTTGGTTTCTATTAGCAATACCTTAAGACCAAGAGAAATGTACATACAGGATATTCATTGTTTTGAAGAATTAAAATTACAAAAATGACTCCACATCAAAAATACCTTCATAGAAATCCAGTTGTGACTATGATTTCTAATCAAATTCCCTGTCTTTCTAAATACCAGTTTAACATGATAAAGCCTGCAAAATGAAGTTCTTTTGCTTTACCATTGTCCCAGTTACTTCTCATTAATATTTTGCATGAGGATATTTATTATGTCTGTGACTAAACATGTTAGGAAAATGGAGAAAAAAATCAACACAAAATTTCAAGGAGGAAAAGCTCTTTTTAACTTTGGGCAAACTATATTTCTCACCAGAAATCTGAAAAGCAACACCTTGCTTTTCTTTTCAAAGCAGGCTTTTAGAAACTCTGAAAGCCAAGGTCTATAGAAACTTTTCCTGTGCACCTCCCAGCCCTCCTCCTTTCACTGTTACTAGCTCACTTTCTAGCTCTACATAGGCAGTAGGGATTTTTTTCTCCTGAAGTAATGGGGAAAAAAAATAGATCAGCCTAACCTTTCTAGTGGTTGTAAAGTTGAATAATCAGCTTATATGAACATTCAGAGGCTTAGCATCCAAGTCATGCCAGTACTGCTCTGGAGTATACCCTCTCAGATCTGAGAAGGGGCCTGTGAAAGTGATAGTGCCTGTTTACAGAGTCTATAAAAAAAAGGGAGAAAGAAACACAAATGAGGCTTTTTTTTCCTTGAAAGGTTTTACTCTTTAGAAAATTTGATGCTGCGAAATGGGAAAGCACTTCTTATTTAATCAGAAAACATTGGATGAAGATTTCATGCTGGCAGTTATATTTGTTTCTTTGTTTACCTTTTAAAAGAGACATGTTGAGGCTCAAGAGAAAGATGCTTTATATTCTAAGTTGCACTGACTAATATATTTTCTGTTTCTTTAGTATTTAGGAACCTTTTATTTGAGTGAGTGAAATGAATTTTTCTGCCTTTGAAAATTTTGGCTACCTGAGTGCTATTTGACCCATACTTCTTGAGTGCTTTGACTAAAACCTGGTTTCAGAAATATTTCCAGATTTATTTTTTTTTTTCACATGCTTTGAAAAAATATCTGTGAGGGATGGGAGTTGGTCCCACCATTTTACCCTTAGCAGACTAGTTATTCCAGAGGCAGTGAAACTGCATCATCTTGACATTTGATTCTTTGTGTAACAGGAGGAACAGCATTCAGTTCAGGCTCAGCTGGCTTTCCCACCCAGAACAGATGCATCATTTCTGAATGCTAGAAATGAAGCTCTTATTTATGAAAATCAGATACCATATCTGGATATTTTGATGGCAAAATGCTGAGCAGGCAGACAGAGAGGGCATCCTCCTGATTGAATACTGCTTTATCTGAGGAATGCAGAATGCTTCATACCACTGCTTCTTTATTTATGAGAAGTAAATGTGAAGTATATATTCTCTCCAAGACAGCAGATGTACATATGGGTCTAGAATCCTTCAATCCAATCTTTAAATAAAGAAAACATCTAACAAAACTGTTGTCCTCTTACATGTTCCATTCCCCATTACAGCAAAAGCTCTAAGTGTTTTCAGACAGTGACATGGGAAATGGCAAAAATGAGATTTACATGGTGGTCTGACCTTTCAGACTGCATAGTTAAAAAACAGAATCATAAAATATTGCCACAAAAGACCTAGAAGCTGATGGAGAAATAATTTCAGAGGCAATATATTGTGCCACAGATCTAATGCCACCTAACTTGGAATGTTGCTAAGATTGCCAGGAGAAGGGCCTATGCTCCTTCAGTATTCAAAGAAGAGAGAGGGTTAGACTCTCACATGTGCTGAATTTTCCTCCAAGTGACCGTCCTATTTTCTGCAAAGATAATAATTCTCAAGTTTAAGCTGAGTCTGTCATATTAAGCTCTTCAGCCAGCTATATACATTTAGTAGGATGTATACAGCTTAGCCCCTTTAATTGGAATTCAGGTGACTATTTGAAAATTAAATAAGTCATTAATGATATTAACTTCATAAGTTTCTGGAAGTCATTTTATCTCTGGATACTACAGCAGTGTTGGAATTTTTTTTAGAGGCCTGGGTTCCTTGCAATCTTCTCTGTTTGCTCTTGAAGTAGGAAGGACAAGCCCTAGCAATACTTCAGAACTCAGCAGAGTGGTTAAGAGAAACTCTTATCTTCATGCCATTGGTTTCCCAACTACATTGTTAATATACATACAGTTTCTTGAAAGAAAAATGCAAGATACTACTTTTTTCTCCTCTATTTGTCATGCTTTTAGAAATCTTTTTCTGTGAGCTCAGAAATTATTTCCTTCTATATTTCAGGTGCTTTTTTTTTTTTTCTAGGTGTACTTTTGGTCTGTTTTATTTCCATAATCTGGCAGGTTTGTGTTTTTTTTTTTCCTTATTTTATACTTCCAGATTTTCTTATTCAGGGATATCACACTTATAAAATCATTCTTTCATCTGATCATTCCTCTTTTCACATGATTTACCACATATTTTATACACAGCCCTTTTGTTGACTGCACTGTTGATTTCTTCCTTGGATAGAGGAGTGTGCCAGACATTGTAATATGCCTTGCCAGTAGCTTCTCAGTCTCACTGCTCAGTGACAGAATTTTTATTGTTGGTGATAAACTGGACAAAAAATGTTGCTTCAGGTTGTACTGTGTGTCTTTCACATGAGGACAGATTTTTTCCTTGGCATGTAAGCTCAGTCTAAAAGTAGTTCATCATAATGAAATATTTGTTAAAATGTGCTGTCATATAT